TTTTTTTCGATTTATTTTTGCATATAGAATCATCTATTCTATTGTCCTATCCGTCCAGCATCATCCTGTATGGCACGTAGAAAATATTTCGTACACGAACGAAATAAAAAGTGAGATGAAAGCAAATTTTACATATTTGATTCAAATGGATGACATGTGGAGGTAAAAATGCATGAATATTCAAAACATATATATAGTTTAAATAAGACATAGCAGCTTCCATATATGCATGAATGCTGATAGTTATTAGAGATATACAAGATAATGGAATATCATATACGCATTAATATTCTAAAGACTCATTTTAATGTGAAAAGAAATATGAACATTTTAAAAAAATCATAATTCTACTTTCCTGCAAAGCATTAAATTTATTAAGTGTTCACCATATATAAGAAAAAATTTATAAAGTTTATATATTATTATATATACCTAAAAACAATTACTATACATATATTAATCTTGTCATTTGTTATTTTTTGTTTATTTAATAAGAAAATTGAAATATTAATATTTCAAATTTTTATTTATAATATACATTTGTTGAATAAGTGTTTTATCATTACAATTATCTTTTGAAAGAAATATACAATTATTATCTACTGTTTGAAATATTAATAAATTTCTACCATTCTTGCAAACGCAGTCTTCTCAGGAGTCGTTTACTCGCATCTCGCAATCCGTATTAACCGACTCTTGGTAAAATATTTATCTTTACTTACCTTTATGGAACATACACATTTGCGTTTTTATTACAGAAGCTTTTGGAAACTGAGGCTACTACAGACTTTAACTAAGTGCGCTTGAAATTTTTTTCTTAGACCAACAAGATCTGGGTCACCTGTGCAATTTCACAACAACTTTAATTATGAATCGTCCGTAATTAATAAAAAATAGGAGACAATTATCCAATACGACGCCGCGACAACAGAGTTTAACAATTTTTCATTTCCAGCAATTGGCCATTTCTCCATTTATCTGAAACCTATCATACGCCAACATTAACGTTTCGTGCAAAGACATTTTCAAATAGTTTTTCGATCATGATTATACATTTTTTTTTTCTCTTTTAAATTTTCTATTTCCCTCATCTTCGATCTTCGAGCGGACTCGTTTGAAAAATATCGAAATACGAGAGAAATGGAAAATCCTTCCCGAGTGAAGGGTGTCTCCGGCTGTTCGACTCACGGTTGAACGACCTTGATGAGCGGGCATTACAATTCATTAGACAAAACGGATACTTTACCCTTGTTTCGATGCACGAGTTGCGGCAACCCATCGAGCACCCTTTCCTCGTCTAAAGTACCCTGCAAACGACCCCACGCTACGTAAGTAAGTACCTTCCTCCTCGGCATTCGGCTCTTACTCGATACTCGCATCCTCTTCAAACTCGTTTAAATACTCTCTGAAGTGTCTTTAATCCATTTTAATTCATGAACCGATTTCTTCTATTTTATTCTATAATTTTCACTTAAAAAAATACAACAATAATAATTATTATTATTCGTCTTTAAATATTAAATAAATATTTCTTCCAAATGAATCTAAGGAAAAGTAAGATGGAAGGAATGTGAAATAACAAAATTTTTAAACTCTTTTTAAACATTCTTTTTTTACTCTGATGAAACGATTATTCAGATTTAAGAGTTGCATATTGTATAATAATTAAAAAGAGACTCTCAGGAGAATGAGAATTGTTTTTTGAATTTAATATAATTGAACATAGAAAATGTATAATTCTAAATATGATATAGTGTATATACAATTTTAAGTCTTGAGGGTTTTGCAAAATAATATATTTAATATGTCAATATTTTATAATTAACGCATGGTGCGTGTATACATTGTTGCTGAAATGAAATATGGAGGAATTTACAAAATTAATATATCCTGTTCACAATATGATCATAAATATTGTAATTGATAGTATTTTTACAAATCTTTAACAATAATTTATAGAATTATTTCATAGATTTTATAAATAATCATTTATATTATCATATATTTTATTATTATTTAACAACAGAATTTTCTTACTACTTAATTATTTTTTCTTTAATTTGATTACTTATTTTAATCTAATAATAAACAAATGTTTATGACAAATTTGAAAGCATGTTTCTTTTCGAAGTAAAATATATTACATTTTGATTCGTTATGTTTTTTTTTTTATTGGTGTTGGTTAAGTTCGTTCCAAGTTCCAATTAATTATAGGTAGTTGGCTCCTCTTTACGAATCATTTCACTTGTTGTAAAAAAGAAATGCCGCCATAACGAGGACAAGTATTTACGAATCATTTCACGGTGGTGCAACTTGAAGAGAAAGCCTGCTATAACGAGGACAAGTATTTACCCTCGAGAACATTGAAACAATGGATCTCATCTCTCTATCTTTTATTCGTGTGACTTCATTGTCTGCGTTCGCAGAGACCCGTTCTAATAATCTTAGAACGATCTCATTGATTTGCAAATCTAATGTTCAACCTAAGACGTTACATTAACTATATTGCCCTCTGTAACGTCTTTCCCAAAATCAATGATTGAAAACAAGTTATATTTATTACATTTTTCCATTCGTTTCATTCAATCTTCGATCTTCGATCTTAGAAGTACGTTATTTAATGCGATGTTATATTGCGAGAAATAATGTACTATAATATATGACACAAACAGAATTAAAAAATTATTTCAAGTTTTTTTTCTTAAAATTTACATAGAGTATCCTCATGAATTTTTTTAAAATTTTATTCTTGATGTATTTAAGTTATTAAAACGTTAAGATGAATAAAACGATGTTAAAATTATAATATTGAAAAATTTCAATATTTTTAACAATATTTATAAATCTTTAATGAGATTAATTAATATATAATTAATGTGTTTTCAATATTATAAAAAATGTAAAGCTTTTAACTAAAATTTTATAAAAAAGAAATTATTGTAAAATATTCATTTATGATGGAATCCAAGTTATTCAACTTAAAGATTAATATTGTCAAAATACTAATATATATAAAATAAAATATATAAAATATATTTTATTTAAATATATATAAAATAAAATAATATAAAATAAAAATATAACAATAAATAAACCATAGATATTTATTTAAATGCATATTTTTACAATAAATAGATAAAGAGATAAAATTTGGATAGAAATATATTTTTTATTTTGTATATTTTTATGCAAATTTCATATTAATAATTAATCATATTAATAATTAAATCATAGAGTAGTTAGTAAATAAAATATTATTGAAACTAGTTTCTTAATTCCATTATAATTCTATAACAAAAATGCTCCAAAAAGATTTAGATTTTAATGAAATACGTAAAATTAATAATGTTTTAAAAGATGCAATTATTAATGAATAAAACAAATTGTGTCAATATTGGACAAAAATACAGACATGCATATCCTGTGATATTGAATGAATATTTTCGGCATACAGATTAATTTTTCTGCATAAAAGCAACAATTTATTATTTAATAATAAAGGAAAAAAATTATAATTACCTATTATAATATAAATTACAGTAAATAACAAATAATAACAAAGAAATTCATATATTTTAAATATATTTCACAGTCTAATAATAAGAACAACATATTAATAAAACAGCAAAACATACAAATTTATGTTTATAATTTATCAGTTGAGATATTCGATTATATTTTTCTCCTCTCAAAGGCAAAAGATACAGAAAAATAGATGAATATTTTGCAAGATAAGCTCATGAATGAACGACGTTAATCACATCTTTCACGAAGTTGGATGTAAAGGATGAAGGTAGCGTTTAACCGAGGGGTAGTTACGATCGAGTAGTTAAATTATTTAAAAACGAGTCACCCTCTTTAAGGCGGAGGCCCATCGTTTCTTCCCTCCTGGCGACAGGGACCTGCGAACGGAGGAATGGATGTGGTTCCATTCATGCTTATTTCAAGCTCATTGTGCGCCCGGTGTATTCAGCCTTTGACTTGCTTCTCGTGTTGCCACTGCAGCAATGTTTCATAGAGAGCAAGAGGCATGCGTGTCACTAGCTAAAATCAGGAAATACCGCTGTCACATTTTCTTCGATGCTAACGAACATTATTAAAGAAGTAACACTCTTACGATTCTAATTCTTCATTCGTAGCAAATCGTGTCACGTCTCATTCCTGATAGTTTTATCGAATTACCATATAATTTATTTTTGAAGTAAAAAATTCTTATATTTTGCTCGAGAAAGAATACAATAATCCAAATATTCTATCAAACTAATGGATTTTTAATTAATTTTTAATTAAAATATATTTTCAAAGATTTAATAATAAGTAGAAAATATATAAGAGATATTAATAGGATATATAATCAGTTATTAATTACTAATATTAGTTACTATTGATAAATCTGCATTACCTTTGTTTATCCATATTTAAATATTTGCAAAATATTATATATATTATATAGTTGCAAAATATTATATAGTTATTATTGATAAATCTGCATTACCTTTGTTTATCCATATTTAAATATTTGCAAAATGTCAATAATGTTTCTTGTCAAATTAATATATACATGAATTTAACTTGAAATTAACTTGTACTTTAAAAGTCTTTTATATACTATTTCAAATATATTCAGTTTTTAACGTACCTTTTTTTATCTTCCTTTTTTTTAAATTTTCTTTTTAAACAATTAAGTTACTTCTTAATAATAAATAGAATGAAACAATAAATATATAGAGTATTAATATATTTATGGGACATATATTTGTTGATTCTAGAGTAAATATAAAAATTGGTATACAAAAATATAAAAGTTTATTTATTAATACATCTATTGTTTAATTCTACAATAATAATGTGTAAAATGATAAATAGTGAAAATTCGTGTAAAAAAAAGTTGAATACGAAATAATGGCTCAGGGAGAGAGATATTTTTTTGACCAACTAAGAGGTTATGTATTGCGACAACATTAATACGAACAATATAATACTTTCAAAATAATTTTTAGGAAACGAGAGAGGCAACGGGAACGTCTTTGTCGCATGTACAATCAAGTTTTAGCGGAATGCTCCCAGCTTAATGGAAGCTGGCCTGACCCGGATGATCCACGTTGGAACAGTGGGGAATATGTAGAACTTCTGTCAGAATGGTTTCCGTCAAATATTACCAACGGAACGATAACGGGGAACGCAACAACCTTATCAACCGGTAACACAATTAAATTTTTTTCGATATTGTATCACTTATTCGTGCTTAATTAAGGGGGAAATTTAATAATTGGGCTGGATTTTAATTATGTTCCAAATGAAATTAGAAAAGAATTATAGAGAAAAATTTTATACCGTTTAACAATTTTGTAATTAGAAAATGCAATTGTTTTTTTAAATGCAATTTTGAACAGGAAAGGTTCAGGAAAGTGAAAAAATTACAAAATTTGAAATGTTTCACAAGATATTAACTTCTTGTTTTTATACAATTTATAAAAAACAAAAAAAGAAAACTTCGAAAATCTTCGAAACTCAATAATTTTCAAACTTTAAGATATTTTGCTACTTCTTTTGCTATTCAAAATTCTCAGAATTCAGGAAAAGAATAATTTGCGTAAATAATTTAAAAATTTTGAATTTAAATTATTTAATTGATTAATCTATTTTTAAGAAAAAGTTGCATTCATAAGATGATAAAAGTTGTTAAAAAACGTAATTTTTTTTTTACATTTATTTTTTAAAAGAGAACTTTAATTCAGCTTAATTATTATTGATGCATTTCATATAATTGAAATTATTTTTCGTCATATCGTTATAAAAATATGCATAATAAAATATTATTTATTTAATTTTTTTTTTAATTATCATCTGTATTTTCTGTTTGATTAATATATATGTATATATATAATTCAAAATTAATTTTAGTTGAAAATAGTACACGTATATACAAGTAAAAACAAATGGGATGAATATTCTATATATTAAACAGCGGAACCTTTCACACCTGTTCTACCACCCTTCGAACTATGGCAGACGATACTGATCGCTTTCTCCCTCGCATTATGTATACTATTAACTGTCGGCGGTAACATTCTCGTCCTCCTGGCATTTATCGTAGATAGGGCTATCAGACAGCCGAGTAACTACTTCATCGCCTCATTAGCAGCCACCGATATGCTTATTGGTAAGTCTTCTCACGTAATAAATAAATACCCCTCGCGTTAACAATACCAACTAACATACGAACTACTAATATATCAACTAACATTTCGTATTCTATAGTTTGCAATTTTTTCATTTTCTTAACAATAAATCAATTGCATAGCATGATAACTAATAACTCGGTTAACTTAAATTAACCTTAATCGTGATGTACGACGTTTGTTATAACAGGAACTGTATCCATGCCATTCTACACGGTCTACATTCTGATGGGATATTGGAATCTTGGACCTTTGCTCTGCGATTTATGGCTGTCCGTAGATTACACGGTATGCTTGGTATCCCAGTACACGGTATTATTGATCACAATTGATCGATTTTGTTCGGTGAAAATAGCAGCCCAATATCGCAGCTGGCGCACGAAAAATCGCGTAATCTGGATGGTTACGATCACCTGGATTATACCGGCCTTGCTCTTCTTCATCAGTATCTTCGGCTGGGAGCATTTTATCGGTTACAGGGACCTAGATCCCGGCCAATGTACCGTTCAATTCCTCAAAGATCCCGTTTTCAACACCGCTTTGATAATCGGTTACTATTGGACCACGCTTGTTGTTCTGTTCATCTTATACGGCGGTATATACAAGACGGCTTACGATATGCAGAAAAAGAGCGAGGCCAAGCAGAGGAAAATGCAATCGATGGTTGCCCTCAGCGCGGGCGCGATGTCCGGTATGGCGGGTCGGGCGGCTGGTATAGGTATATCGAAGACGCAAAGCACCCTTTTGAGCCAGGATAAGCCGAAGCTAAGCGCGTCGGGTGACGAGGAGGGGGGTGGCGACGGTTCAGGGCAGAAGACTTCCTCAAAGACTTCCGGAACCACCGGCGTGACCGACTCGACGGAGAAACAAATAGGTGGAAGCATGGCCCCGACGGAGACGGAAAAATCCGAACGAAGTAGTAGTCCAGCGTTCGATTCGGACGAGGAGAGCACGATGGGCCCTGCTGCTCAACAGCTCGCCAACATCAGGAAACGATCCTCTTTAGCCGGCCTGGTCGTGCAGACCGGCGCCCTCCCAGTTTTCTCCACTAACGGCCACTTGAACGGAATCGTTCCGGCCAAGGCCGACCTGAACTTGCAAGCATCGAAGAAGCTCCTCCCCCCCGTGGCCGCTGGCCCGACGTGCGACATGGCCACGCAGAAAGCTCAAACATTGCCGAAGATACAAGAGTTGAGCCTCTTGGACACGGACAATGTGCTCGAACCCGACAGGTCGAGCAGTCAGACGTTGACACCTGAACAGTCTCGCTGCAACGGGGACGCGACCCCTCATCAACGACCGCTCACTTCCGCCGAGACGTCACCACCCACTCACCCCGCTCGTTCGATCAGCGGAAGCCAACAGAACATCATACCACCGCCTACGCAGTTTCGAAGCAGCCCCCAAGTGTCCGACAGCCCATCCACGTCCTCGTCCACGGACAGACCCAAGTCGTTGGTCGTGTCGTCTCACGGGACAGCAGGTACTTTCGATATTCTGACAGGGTTGGACGGGGGGGATTTGAGGTACATGGACGAAAGTTCGGTTATATTGCCCAGCCCATCTTATGAGAGTCCATCGTCTTCCTTCTCGTACAGCCTGGCGAATCCGCTTTCGAGCGCCCCCTCGTCGCCCATTCTAGGGAATATCCCTACCTCGTCCAACACGAGCTTGCTGCAGGCAGCATTGATCAGAGCCACGGCCCAGCAAGTGAGCAATCAGCAATCGGCGGGAGGCGGCCAGAGCAAGCAGAGTCAACCGATAATGTCGAACGCCTCCAGTCAAACCCATCCTCCTCGCGTGTTCATTACACAAAAATCGAACGTCGCTTCTCAAACATCGCCTACGGTGAGCAAAGTGCACACGGAGGTGAGCGTGAAAGCGAAGGACACGAAGCAGCAACCGGTGACGACGATCGTCAGCGCGCACTCGGTGGAGAAGAACAACGCGACGAATCAGTATTCTGAGCAAGAAGCGAGGATCAATCCTCCGCAGAATTCGTCCTCCAGCGGTAGCATGGTGCCCACGATTTCCGGGACGACGGGAAACGAGCAAGACGCGAAGAAACAGTCGAAGAAGAGGGACGCGCGGGGCAGCGAGGAAGGTGGCTCGAGGAAGGACTTCGTGAAGACGATTGGGAAACGTTTGAAGACGAAAACGCAGAGGAGGGATCCTTTGTTGAGCAGGCAAAAATCACGGACCGAGAACAGGGCTCGGAAAGCTTTCAGGACGATATCTTTCATTCTAGGCGCATTCGTCGCTTGTTGGACACCGTATCACATTTTGGCGCTAGTGGAGGGTTTTTGTACGAACAAACCGTGCACCAACGAACATCTGTTTATGTTCTCGTATTTCTTGTGTTACACAAATAGCCCTATTAACCCGTTTTGTTACGCATTGGCCAACCAGCAATTCAAGAAGACTTTTACGAGAATATTGAAAGGTGATCTGCACATGACGTAAAAGAAGGAGGGGATTCGAAGAGAGGAGCAAATAAAAAAAAAAAAAAAAGGAAATAAATAAGCTTGGAAATAAGGTGAATAAGGCCTTCCGTAATTAAATACCGAATTAATATTTAAATGCCATTGTTTAATGGTCAAATTGGACAATAAGATTAGTAGGATGACTTGCGATTTAAACGCAGGCACAAAAAAAAAGTACCGTGTGCTTCGTGTATATAGTAATAGGATGCGTTGGTGTAGTTTTAGACTCGGATGTACATAATGTATATGTATGAATATTTGTTAAATTCTGTGCAGGAAAGCATTAAAAAAAAAACAAAATGTAGAAAGAAACGTAACGTATTTGTAGTATTTAGATAACTGTGCGTTATTACAATAATAATCGCTTTACAATAAGTGCTTCGATGAACGTGAAAACATCAATACGAGTTAAGATACTCTTTAAAGAAAGGATATTAGATACACACGTAAGTCTATTAGGTTTAATTGAACGATCGAATCGTTAGTCGGGAGGAAAGAAAACAAGAGGAATGAATATGATTAATAGAAAGACATCGATAAAAATCACTTCGCATCGGAATGAACAATTTTTTCGAAAATGAACAAAGCTTTAATTAATTTTCGCCAATTGTACATGGCCGTTGCACGAGCCTTTAAAAACGCGGATTATGGTTTCATCTCTTCAACGATAGACAAATATTTTTTACGAGCAACGAACCAGATTGAGATGGCTCGTTTCGAAGAAGTACCAAAGAGTCAAGGATTTTATTATCTATGTACACACTGCCTTGGGGTGGCCTATTGATACACGGGCCTTCTTTCTCCGAATTCAGTTACATTTGGTGCTGTCCTCGTGAACGAGCGTCCATAGATTTCTAATCGATAATGTTTGCTTTCAAACATCACATTGGAACACTTATACCGAACTCCAACTCCGACGAAAGGAGTTTTTGAACACTCGTCGATAACACTGGTATAATTCATTTTAGATTTTAACATAAAGCTTATATGAAAAAAAATTTTAGTCTTGGTAAAAAAAAAAAAAAAATAAAAAATAAAAAATAACAATACACATATCAAGAGGATATAAAAAATGATAAAATATTTTTATTCTTATATTTCAAAAATTATATATATATGTAATATTAAAAATTATAAAGAAATATGAAATGTCAAAAAAAATTTAAATTGATAAATATTTATAAAAACGTATCACTCTCGATCTCGATGATTTCTGAATATATTATTTGAATGGCTTGAAAATTTTACTTATCTGTCTGTTGTTTATTAAAAAGTTATTAATCTAAGTTAACTCAAATCCAAAAATCAGAATAAATAATATCAAAAATTGAATAAAAATTTATTTGACTATTATAGAATTTAATGATTTTTATTAATTTTCTTAATCCACTTTAATTGTCATAATACAATTCAGCATAATAACAATATATTAAAAAATCATCAAGATCAGATGAAGATATTTTTTTTATAAATAATTACCTAAAAAATAATGAAATATTCTTATCAATTGATATAACTGTTAGATGCAATAAAATAATAGTTAAAATCTAAAATAATTATATGCCAGTGTTATTAATTCGTAAAATATTCGTCGTAATAAGTGATGAAATTTATACGAGTTACAATTATACACGCTTGTATAAATGTTTCATTCATTCATAGTTTTCATTAATCTTCTTTAGACGCAAATATTAATTATTTATCAACATTTATTTCGATAAAATAGACTTTCGTGAATTTCCATGGATTTTATAATGCAATAGATTAATATTTTGACTGAGTATGCTTTTTATTAAAAAAAAAACATATTTTTTAAAGATACTGTCGAAACATTTAAATTGATCTCACGAGACTAATCCAATAACGATGTACAACTTTGATACTATTAATCGAGCTTTTCCAATACAATCATTAATTAATAAAGAAAACATTATCCAAATCTCTTTCCAAAATGTCATGTTTTGCGAGGGATATATTTTTAAATAACGACTATACCGTACGACAAGAATTTTACATAAAACCATAGTTATCATTCATCAATGGAATTACTCTCTTACACGAAGAAAATGATTCAAATGCGACAAAATCAAATGTCAAATCAATATTTTTCGCTCTTCTTCATAAATACGTATGTTGTGAAGTTACTTTTATAATATAGCTTTTATGCAATATTGCATATCGAGTGAAAGAAAACTGGCAATATTTATATTTCCCATGATTTAATCATTTTCAAGACTTTGTATCTTTTTTACAAAAATGCAAACACGCAATTATCTCGCACGGTAATTTACGTAAACTACAATTTGCTCGTAAAAATATAATTTTCATATTGGCGATATTAATGAACGTTAATAATTGTAAATTACGATGTAAAAATGAATCATTCTAAATGATTCAGAATAGTTAAATGTATTTATCAATTGTTATTATGAACCATTATATGTAATTGGCATGAACTCAATTTCGTATAAATGTGAAACGAAATTTAGAAATGCGATTTTCTAATTATATTACATCCTGATTAAAAAAAAGAAAATAAGAAAAAATTATAAAAATTATAATTTATAAAATATTATATTAATTCATTTTTAATTATGTTGATATTTTGTGAACGTTTTTCGAAATTCACTGCCAATACCAAGTCATCCTATTTATATTTATATCATATCTGTAATTATTTATTTCTTATACACTAGTGATTTTTTATAAATTTTATTTATAATTATTCTTGGTCTTCTTCACAAGTCTGTTATATAATAACATATATATGTATATTGTTTAAAAGAAACTACATTGCATGAAAAGAAATAAATCAAAAAAGGAGGATGTTGAACATAAATTACTAGAATTGTCCAATCTAGAATATTATACATAGTATAATATTAACGTAAAAACGTGTAAAATCATTTTCCTCTTCAAAATTAAAAATTTCTGGAAAACTAGTAATATATTAAAAGATATATACATTAAAAGATATATATATAAATACAAATTTCAGGATGGAAAATGGAAGTGAATAGCATACATTAAAATGTCAATTTTTTCAGAAACTCGAAATATATGATTAGCATATAATACGTGTACAACAAGGAATTAAATAATCAATAAGATTGAAAATCAATCTTCCAAAAGAAGAATGTGTAATACCGTGCAAAAGTCTTAAATGTTTTTAATACAAATTATTGAATAAAAAATATATTTATATATTAACATAAATACATGTATCATGTATGTTATGACGAATTATTTTATAAATTTTATTATATAAATTATATATAATTATATTTATAATTATACTTATCTCGTTCATATATTTTAATTAATATAAATAATTTATTTTATTTTATTTTTTTAACAATAAAATTCTAATCAATTTTATATTAATTGCTTAGTTTTTTCTAATAATAAACTTTTTCTAATATTTTTCTAATATTTTTCTAATAATAAATTTTTCAGTACTTATAATAACATTTTTATTTTGAAAAATCAAAATTATTAAATTGCATTTGTTCTTTAATATAATAAAAAATGAAAAAGAAAAAAAAAGAAAACATACATAACTCTTAACTTTATTGCTTTCTTAATAATTTGGTCATTCGAAATGACCTAACATTTGAAATTTTTCCAGAATAAATAGAATTTTCATTCAGATTATTAAAATAGCTTATTATCAATTGACAAACGATCATCACATATTCAATGTAAATAATTACAATAAATACTAATCTTGAAAATGTTAAAATTAAAAATGTTATTTCCACTTATATTTATTCATGCATTAATATTTTTAATACATGTACAAATTGTAAAAAATATAAAAAGAGTATAAAAGGATTATATTATAAATCATTTAAGACTTTTGTACAAAACGGTAATTACCTAAAAGTTCGATGTTTGCATACATGCATAATAATTAATATACTTGCTTCCAAACAATTGACGTTTCATCGTCTCCAATTCTAAGAACAATTGCTGTGTTAAAACGAAACACGCTAAATAAATAATTGCTTATAAGCTACATCACAGTAGCATATACATAAAAAAATATAGCGTATAATGATAGAACGGATTTATAGAAATTAAGCGTAATAGAACTAGAAAGAATTAAAGTTAATGTTGAACGAATAAGAAGAAAATAAGCATGAAGCCTAGATGATAGACATTTGCCGTGGAGAAAATGAATATTCGCGCTCTCTGCATTTCTTTCTGTGTGCCGAAGCTTTCATCGCCATAGTATTCTTCGTTAACGCCTACCAATGAAGCAGAGTCATTAAGAACGAAAAAAGGATGGGGGAGAGGGGGGAGGGAAACGTTAATGAGCTATAAGGCGTTGAGAAAATGAGTCGAAAAAAAGAAAAAAAAAAAAACTCCATGTTTAGTCTCAATTAAAAGAGATTGAAGATCAATTAAGACGTTCGTTTATGGGCGCACAAGTGCTCGATTCATTACAATGGCTCGCGATATCTCCTGATGAATTTCACTCTTTCTACCTCAAAACACAGTATACAGATAAAAATACGAGAGTCATGCTGCGGATCGGTTTTTTGATTCGCTATTAAAAATCATATTACTGAATGAAAATTGATATTTTATAAGATATTGTATCTTTTGTCTTTTGTTTAGGTTATATACATATATCATTTATTTTTTTTGTTTGATAATTCGACGTGATACTTTTTGTTATATTATTGAAATTTTTTTATATTTTTTATATTTTGTAAAAATGTTTTTAAAATAATAAAATTATTTTAAATCAATTAGAAAGACAATATTTTTCTTTTTTCTTCTTTAAGAAAATTATGATAAATATTATAGCAATTAAAATGAAAAATTAAACATAACACTCATTTTTAAATAATAAAAATTTATAATTCAATGAATACGAATTACTAAATATTAATTTAAAAAATATTATTATTATTAAATATTAATTTAAAAAATAAATATATATATTATTGGTTTATATCAAAAATATTTTAATTTTTAATATTTGAAAACATTAATACGATAATTCTAGATAAACAGATAAAAATTTAATTACTTTATTATTTTAGATGATATTATTTCAAATTTATATTTTACATAATTTAATATTTACAGAAATTTTTACACAAATCTTTATCTTATAAAATACAACTAATAGTAATGAAATATGTCGAAATTGATACTAATTGAAACTATTTAATCTTTATATCTAGTATAATCTTTTGTAAACATTTTATATATAATATATATTTATATTATTTTATATTTTTAGTTCTATTGAAATCAAATAGAATTTTAATTTATATCATTTTTTTAACACATAATTTATTGACTGACAAGGCTGATTATATTGCGAGGATATTTAATAATATTCAATAAGTTCTTTAAGACTTTTTGACTGTTAAAATAATTTACTATTTATTCCATTTTAATTACTAAGCTCTTTTTAAAATATTTATACTCAATTCTTGATGAGAATCAAGAGAATCATCTATTATATAAAATTTTTACTGTAGATTGTACACATTTTTTCAAGTATTATTTACAA